TGCCGGCGGGCAGACTTCAAGCAACTCGGCTCTGACTGGAAGTGTGAGTCACGTTCGCTCTTGAACATGATTCCGTTTGGAGGAAAGTGAAGCTCATGTGAATGGGAGATCCCAGATTGTCACGAGTCTTTTCCCAAAAAGATGATTCAGGCTGTTTAATGTAACTCCTAATTGAAGTTTAATGTTCGACTAAACACGAAACCAATAGCTTTTAATGCTAACAAGCAATGCAAAATTGCATACACAGGCTAACGAATAGCATCTGGATTTTTTTATAACCCTTTAAGGAACCACAAGTAGTTTCACAATCAATGAAGAAAGCTAATGAAACCATACGTGCATATTCTTTATCCTCTGCAAAGAGCGACTACTCTTACTGCGACTTACTGAGGAGTGACTGTCTCCATGTACAGTGGCGCCTTGAGATTTGCATTTTTAGTCGTCATGTGACCACACTCGTGTCTGACGGCTCGACCGTCTTCTGCTTTTTGTGACATTTTTGCTTTGTGGCGTGAATTGTTTCGAATGTAAAATGTCGTTCGCCAACAAAGATCATTCCTGATGTCATTTCTAATTTACTGTCACAATAGCAATAAAAATTGAGGGTTTAAAAAAAAAAAATTTGGTCTGTAGGTTGTCAGTCATCTCAATCGAGGTGACCCACAACGTTTGAATCGAGGCAATTGAACTCTTTCAGTTGAATATATTTTTTTTGGGTCTCATTTTCTGACAGTGCTCAAAAACGACTTGGGACAATTTGACTTTTCATCTTACGTGCGTTGTTGGCTCGATAGAGGTTGCGAAACAACGATCTGCCCGTTGAGATGATGCAGATGAATAACAAAGGCAACCCTCTAACCGCTTCCTCTTCCTTTCAAATGTTTCTGCCGGTCGGAGGAGCACATGTAACTTTTTAGTTCATTATGCACAATAACGACAAGCAGCTGAAAGCACGACCCCTGTGGCGGCGCACAAAAAAAAAAAAAAAAAACAACCTTTCAGTTACAAAATGCACAAAAAAAGAACATTTCATGTGATTGGATCGAGGTTGTCAAAACAAAAGCCCAGTTTGGCATCAGAGGTCGTCGGAATGCGCCGAAAAGACACGCCGGACGCAGTACAGAGCCTGCAGCACGTTTGGCACGTTTGACCAATTAGCTGTGTTTGTCTTTCAAGGCTTGTACCCCGGTGGCCCCCACCACCACAGCGCCTCCGCCGAGCTCCTCGCCACCCCCGCCGCCGCCGCTGCCAGCGCGACCGCCGCCGAGCTGCCCTCACGACAGCACTGCCTGGACCTGGACCTCAACAGCCCGCGTCATCTGTCGCCCATGGAGGGCAACAGGGACGGGTGAGTATAGTGGACCACGTACAGTATATTCGTCTGTTTGAGGATTTTTTTTTTGGGGGGAGGGGCAGTCATTGAGGGAAAATCTCACCATTCAGGAACTGATTCTCATCCCTGCAATTTATTTTCCACATCTCCTCACGCATCTGTCATAGGCGCAAGCTCATGCTTGTAACCGCGTCTGTAACTGCAAATTTCAAATTTGATAAATGCCATTGAAAAAGATGAATTTCAACGACCTGGAAGGGATGGAAAAATCAGTGCCCGATGGCTGACTTTGGGCGGCCGATGTGGGCGGGCGGACAGGCATCGCAAACGTTGCTCATTAACAAAACGTCTGCGTACTGGCCGCAGGACGACGTTATGTAGCCACGAGATGAGAGAGCGAAAACACTCCATGAACATGAAACCTCTTGATTTAATGTGAGCTATTGCAAAAGAGCATAAAAACAAAAAAGACAGCGTCCTACAAAAGTATTGGGACACCTAGGGGCCCCCCCCCCACCCCACAAAAAAAAAAAAATGGCGGATTACAATGTATTTTTGGACCGGTGTTTCCCAACATACATTGCACCAAGGCACATGTTTGGCATCAGAAAAAATGGGTATGTTAGCTGTGTGCCTTCAAGGGGCGTGGCCTAGTGACTGATGTCATAAACCGGAGTCAGGTTGCATGAGATGTAGCCGACAGCAACTCCTTGTGAGTGTCCTCAAGCTGCTTGTCCCGTTAAATAGAGCGCCTGAGAGCGCAACAGCGACTGAGGCACTCCTTGCCCACATACGAGGGCATACCTTAGTCCCCCACTTTTTTTCCCGTGTCATACAACAGGTGCCATTGATTGCGTACTGGTCATGCTTGCGCACCGTTTTCTTTCAAATGAACTGCCAGCTGGAAAAATATGTGAGCTCGTCGACAACGTGGACAATGACAGGGAGGACTTTTTTTTTTTTTTTTTTGCCCACATACGAGGGCATACCTTAGTCCCCCACTTTTTTTCCCGTGTCATACAACAGGTGCCATTGATTGCGTACTGGTCATGCTTGCGCACCGTTTTCTTTCAAATGAACTGCCAGCTGGAAAAATATGTGAGCTCGTCGACAACGTGGACAATGACAGGGAGGACTTTTTTTTTTTTTTTTGCCAACCTGCTCATTTTTTGAGCACGTAGCATTGTGATTCAAGCCCGGCCGACCGTAGCGAGAGCATCTTCGGGATTGTACAAGAGAATCTCCGTGGACTTGACAAATAAATGAATCACACCGATAATATTATCAAGGTCACAACTGTGTCCCGCAGAGCCTCTCGCTTTGTTTTCTGCCGATTTCTCATCCTCATTCCCGGCGGGAACGCAAGGGCGATCCCGTTTGGAGGATGAACTTCTCGGCCCCGCTGACACAAACCTATTTGGCTCTTCTTCCTGGAAACAAGTCCGCTTGTTTCCCCCCCCTCCCCCCTTACGAGGACGAGGGGCCGCGCTGGTCACGGCGAGGTCGGCGTGACACGTCACTTGCTCTCTTTCTGGCACCCAACCGGCGTTCGCAATGTCCCCCAACAGCCTCGAAGCGATGAGCAAACCTCTCCTTGCTGGAAGGGTTTCACGTGTTAATGAGAGCAAACTGTCAAAGCGTGGGGGGTGGGGGTATGGTTTTGCTAAACGCCCTTACATCAGGACCAGAATTCCCTCGCGTGGACGGCGACTCGGCAAGCGCTCGGGACGCAGAGCCCCAAAAAAAAAAAAGCAGATTGTGCAATGAGTTTGTACCAACGTGTTATTTGCGCCTCATTTGCTGCGTCCGGGAAGAAAGAAGCAGCGGCGTTTGGGTCATCACGGATGAGGCTAACGGGGCGCCTTCCACGTCAGACACGATTATTGACATTCCTTAGCGCAGATTCTACCGACCTTGTGACCGATTATCTTGTTTCATTTGCACAGGTGTGTGTGTGTGTGTGTGTGTGTGTGTGTGTGTGTGTGTGTGTGTGTGTGTGTGTGTGTGTGTGGAGACGTGTGTGCG